CGAATCACACAGGGCAGTAACGCGCGCTTTACCGAATCACAAAGGGCAGTAACGTGCGCTTTACCGAATCACACAGGGCAGTAACGCGCGCTTTACCGAATCACAAAAGGCAGTAACGCGCGCTTTACCGAATCACAAAAGGCAGTAACGCGCACTTTACCGAATCACACAGGGCAGTAACGTACGTGCACTTTACCGAATCACACAGGGCAGTAACGCGAGCTTTACCGAAGGGGCAGTAACATACGTGTGCTTTACCGAATCACAAAGGGCAGTAACGCGCGCTTTACCGAAGGGGCAGTAACGTACGTGTGCTTTACCAAATCACACAGGGCAGTAACGTACGTGCACTTTACCGAATCACACAGGGCAGTAACGCGCGCTTTACCGAAGGGGCAGTAACGTACGTGTGCTTTACCGAATCACACAGCGCAGTAACGCGCGCTTTATCGAAGGGCCAGTAACGTACGTGTGCTTTACCGAATCACAAAGGGCAGTAACGCGCGCCTTTCCTGAGTTACATGGGGCAGTAATGGACATAGGTCCTGCTTCAGTTTCACATCCATCTGGTGCTGATCTCCAGCTACTAAAAGGCAGCTCACTCATGTGGAGTTGGATGTTCCCTCAGAACCACAAAGCCTCTCATTTTCTGCAGAGTCTGTATTGTCCCTTACCTCTCCGCCATTTCTTTCATTGCCTGTGATTTCTGAGACGTGACATATCCTCAGCGATTTCTGGTAGTGTGTGACTTACACAACATATACTGTACATATTAAGGATATTGAAGTTCAACAACTTGACATAACTGAAAGCCCATATCAAGTAAGAAAGGTCTTATAGAGCTGTGATGCAGAAGCTGAAGAATAATTAATCTATCGCAAAATGTGGGCCCTGCTCAAGGCTTTCAATCCCCAAATGCTCCAGGGACTAAACCCTTTGGATAAAAGTGGCTGCTAAATAAAAATGTTAGTAATCATATAGACATGCAGGGAGGCTAAAACGGCAACACCACCGTGTATCATTTTGCTGACTTTTTGTTGCTTTTCATTTGGTCATCGGCTGTGCTTTGGGCAGCTCTGTGTAGGGGGCGCCGTGGAGAGCCCAGTCAAAGTCAGAGCCAAAGGGCACACAGTGTGTGAACAAGAAGCCTTTGCAGTCTCACAGGTGGCCTTCACGCCCGAGGCTGGCTGGCCAATCAGGAGCCGCCCCCCTCCGAGTGAATCATCCTTCTTCTTCAAACACACTCATTCCTGCAGTATCCCATGGCTCATAAGTCCAATATCTACTCTTGTGCAGAGGCAGAAAGGGTCCTGTTTTTATATTGCAGGTTTTATCTCAATGGGAAGTGGAAATTTGGCCTGGAGGAAGACACCGGGCCGACTGTACGGCTGAGGTTGGTGCGTGTCCTGGCGGTTTGTGACATGGAGCTGAAAATAAACTTTGAGTTCAACCACCTCCAGCAGGTGGTTGGCTCCCGGTCACCTGCAGCTGCCAGACAGCCCTGGGGACATCTGTGGCAGGCTAGACAGCATGGGGACATCTGTGGCAGACTAGACAGCCTGGGGACATCTGTGGCAGGCCAGACAGCCTGGGGACATNAGACAGCCTGGGGACATCTGTGGCAGACTAGACAGCCTGGGGACATCTGTGGCAGGCCAGACAGCCTGGGGACATCTGTGGCAGGCCAGACAGCATGGGGACATCTATGGCAGGCCAGACAGCCTGGGGACATCTGTGGCAGGCCAGACAGCCTGGGGACATCTGTGGCAGGCCAGACAGCCCTAGGGACATCTGTGGCAGGCCAGACAGCATGGGGACATCTGTGGCAGGCCAGACAGCCTGGGGACATCTGTGGCAGGTCAGGCAGCCTGGGGACATCTGTGGCAGGCCAGACAGCATGGGGACATCTGTGGCAAGTCAGGCAGCCTGGGGACATCTGTGGCAGGCCAGACAGCCTGGGGACATCTGTGGCAGGCTGAGCACCATCATTTTAAGGTTATTACAACGTTTTCTCATAAAAGGTGGCTGGTTTTTTGAAATGTCAAGCTGACTATTTATGACATTTGAAACCGATTCAGTGTTTCAGTTCCACACAATCAAATGAGAAGCGAGTTGGTTGGATCTTACAGGACCTCGGCTCTCATAACAAAACTTGCGTGTTTTCCACAGCCCTTCCAGGACGGCACAGCTTAACTCAAGAAAAGGGAAGAGGGAAAGAAAAAATGTCGGAATCAAGCAGAAAAAAGGAATAAAGACCTCCAGAGTAATGAGAAAAAAACCTCAATAATCAGTGAGCTAGTTCTCTAAGCAGGCTTGTGTGAGTTGGCAGATCGCAGGCCACACACGCAATGTCACAATTTGTAAGCCACATCCATGATATCACTGTTTTTAAGTCATAATCGTGATGTTACAGTTTGTAAGCTACAATCCACTGTTTGAAAGGCAGAGTGTAGCAGAGGAACAGGGCAGGTGCTCATATCAAGTGGTACTGGCTCTCTCTCTCTCTGTGACACACACATACGCACTACGGGGCTGAATCAGCACGGCTGACATTTTTGGTTTCATTGTTTTTTTTACAACTAAAAAAAAAAGCAGAAATTCTTTTTTTTTTGAGAAATCGGGGTCAGTCAGTTGCTGGAGAAATCGGAGCTTAAGGGCTTTGCTCAAGGGTCAGTGATGACATCATTCTGCCAACCCTGGGATTTGAAACAGTGACCTGATCATAGTCACAGTATGCTAACCTGCTGAGCCACACAGACACCCCCCCCCCCCCAATGCTGTGCTAAAGAGGGAGCATTCAGTAAACAAACAACATGCTGAAGGAGAGTCACATCCAATCCGACCGCATCACACTGCCTCTGTAAACACCCAGGAGGAGTTTCAGAAGGTGCCTGAAACTGACCCAGGAGCAGAATCTGAACATGACACCGGAGGTCATCGGCAGACAGACGCAGAGTGGGCCTCGCACCCCCACACCAAACAGGAAAGCAGAGAGGGTGAATCACTGCCCCTGCATGCTGCTGCCATGTTGGCGTTTACGCAGCTCCCCACCCACAGTACACCAACATGTAATTCCACCACAGCCAGTGCAGACACTGTTAGCCAAAGTGATGCAAAGTTCCCGAGGAAGCAGCTGCACATAGTTGGGGGGTTAAAGGCATTTGCTCAGTGACCCAATGATGAAGTCACTCTGCTGACCCTGGTATTGGAACCGGTGACCATCCAATCATAAACACAGCGTTCTAACCCACAGAGCCACACACCACCAGACCCTGGGCAGTGTCCCCTGCCCTGTGCCCAGTGATGGACTGCCATCCCGTCCAGGGTGTCTCCTGCCCTGTGCCCAGTGATGGACTGGCATCCCGTCCAGGGTGTCCCCTGCCCTGTGCCCTGTGATGGACTGGCATCNGTCCAGGGTGTCCCCTGCCCTGTGCCCTGTGATGGACTGGCATCATGTCCAGGGTGTCCCCTGCCCTGTGATGGACTGGCATCCCATCCTGGGTGTCCCCTTCCCTGTGCCCTGTGATGGACTGGCATCCCATCCCGGGTGCCCCTTGCCTCATGCCCAGTGCTTCCATGGTTAAATCAGCATCAGACAGGATGCAGAGCCTTGGTCCTGTCAGGAACAATGTGTGGTGGTGTTGGGGGTGGGGTGGTGTCCTAGATAAGTCACTCTGTACATTATTAGTTATCATATGTATTTATGATCACAATATTAAAGATGCAGTTTGTGAATTTGTTGTGTTCCCACTTTTAAGCAATACAAAAGACACAGACAAATGACATCAAAAAGTTATTTTTATAGATGGCACCAATCTGATACCCAGTTGGTGTATCCTGATACACAGTTATTGGGACGGGGGAGTAAGAAAATGACCTGATTCTCCATGAGACATAAGGTCTAACCTGGAAAATCACAAAAATGCTTCTAGCCTTTAGCAGGACATACCGTAAGCAGATGTGAGGGTCATGTGATGGTTAATTACTACTTATTTTTTTTTTATCTGTGCTCCATTGTGTGTTTTGTACAGTAGACATATGTGTATTTTTTGACTAGAAATGGTTAGTTTAAGTATACAGTGATATTTTCATGATTTATTTATTTATTATATTTAATTTGGCAGCAGAGTGCACAAATTGCACTTTAAAAACAGCCCTGGACTTTGAGCCCTCCAATAGTCCATAAACGTTACATCTGAGTAACTCCCGTGATTGTGTTGAGTCTTGCGGATATTTCGCTCTTCACTTTCAGCGCCTTCATTTGTTATTCTTATCCTCCCCTGCCTCCAAAAATCCGCATCGGCTTCGAATTACTATAAAAACGAGTCTGGCGTTACTTTCTTATGCTCTTGCACCGTTTCTACCCCGCTTCGCAGTTGCCGCTCTTGATGCCTCCGAAAGCTCGGCTTTTGCCTGCCCCGTACATTGTGCAGGCACTTTCACACCTTCCACAGCACTACACTTTTCCTGCACTCCCTCTACGCACCTGATGTCCCCATTGACATCTGCATCCTTTGCAATGAGATTTTATTGGCAAAACTTGGTGGCTTTCAGTATCACCATCCAGCCTCGTCATAGTGGAATAAAATGTATGTTGACAGTTATAATCCACCACGCCAATAATAAGAAAACGAAATGTATTCATTTTATAATAGCCTACTCATTCTACCATTTAGGTGCCATTAAACAATTTAGTTTATTTGACTCCCCAAACACAAATCTCCAGATGTTGCGGACTCTGTATGAATTTACTATCGCAATCAATGATCTAAATATTCATTAGAAACAATATCGAATTTACACATTATTTTCCAACTAGCATTACTATATGTACCAGCAAATGCCATAACATTTAATCTCGATGAGATTTAGACAGCGTTCATTTTGTGTGTGCGTACTTGGGGTGCTTCGGAAGCGTAACGTTCTCCAAATGCCAATAAATACCCTTTTAACTAAATGGAAACCCTTCTACTTTGATGAAAATCGGTTGCATTTACAAATACAGCATTAAGCAACTGCAGGGAGCCTAGGACATATTATCAAATAAAAATGTATACTAAATTAAATTATATCACAACTTTTTAAGAAAAGAAATTGTGATTCAAAAAGTGATTTTTTGACAGAGGTCGGTCTTTAGGAAAACGGCAGACGAATTAACAATATGGCAAATGGTATTATAAAATTGCAATGGCCGGTAATATATTTGCAAAAATATGGTTGATTACTTACATATCCTTAACGGGCAAATTCTTCCCCTCGACAATCCGGATAAACAAAGTACTCCTCTTTGCCATTTGCACAGACTTTGGGAGATGGTGACTATATAGCTCACTGTATGGTCTTAGAGCGCGCTGAGCGCTGGTTTCATGTCAAAGCGGTACCCGGCACACTGGCATTCTTAACGCGTGCCGCGCGTCCCCTAGCCGGCTCTCCCAGCGTGCCGCCCAGTCAGAGCCACACTGACTCAGCGGCCGAGTCCCGCCTCGTACCCCGCTGACCCAATCCCAGTTGCCCGCTCCCCGCCTTCCGTCACGCCATTGGATGTATTTCGACGTGAAGAAATGCCACTTGACTATCTCGGGAAATGTAGTAAATATAGCTGGAACCGGTACAACGTAAATATTTACCTTAAGAAAACAGCGCGAAAGACTGCGACTTCATCCTCTCCTCATGTTCATGATATCGTATTTAGTGCCTTTTGACGGTTTATTGGAGTGGTATGCTGCATAATACAATTAAGATAGATAGATAGATAGATAGATAGATAGATAGATAGATAGATAGATAGATAGATAGATAGATAGATAGATAGATAATCTTTATAGATGACATGCACTTGAACATCGATTTGTGCTTATTCATTTCTTTTAAACGTTATACTCCTAAAGGTAATTTCAGAAGCCAGACACTAATATCAGAAAGTGTAAGATCTTTTCTTTAAGTATTCAAGGTTTGTTTTGTCACATGGGCTTCCTCTGCTGCTCTCTCTGGGGGCTTTGGGAAGGGGCAATGTAAAGTGCTTTGAGATCATGTGATATTTTGAAAATGTGCTATATAAATAAATTTGAATTGAATTAAACATGCAAGGTATGCAGTCAGATTATAACCTGGTGTGAAATGTATGGAACTTTACTTGAAAACATAGGGCAGGGTGAAAGGTAAAATGTGTTCAGATCCAAATAATCAAAATCAAAACTCAAAAGTCATATTCACACTCTAAATAATTCCCAATTCCTTCCCTCATAACTATGGAGGCACTGTACTTGCCTGAGCGGTGCACAAAAACAGTGTAAAACACGGTAACTACTGTCATGAATATTTTAAAATGCAGCACTCATCACTCCTTTCTGACAAGGAAATCAGAAGCTGGAAGCTGAGAAGGCAGAAAGTAACTGACATCAAGTCAACCAGCAATAGCACATTTCATCATTCAGTATTATAAATGCCACTGGTTAATTTGCAAGGAACAAATTAAATCATTATAGAATATGAACAAGTAGCACAAGTAGTATTATTTTAGTAATTATGAAGGTGGTAAAAATTCTTGTCTTTCGATGGCGTGTAAAGGGTGTCTGAGCAAGTGGTGAAGTTAACAGCAGTGATATACATTCCCTTCCTGAAGGATTCTGGGACAGAGCTCTTGGTGAGGCACTCAGTTCTGTGCATGATTCCAGAACTGTGAGGAAAGGAGAGCAAGAGGCTCACATCACTTCACATTACTCCTTTTCATGAACTACATATTACTTCACATTACTCCTGTACATATACTATACATCACATCACTTCCATGTCACCATTTAGTAACACTGTTTTAAGAATCATAACTGGTTGAGTGACTGAAGATAATTTTGAATATTTGCAGTGGGTGTGGATATTGAGGTATTGAGAGACCCTTAAAATGTATAAGCTCCATAGTACACAGACTCCCAGTGCAAACCAGAAGATTAAATGTTTCTTAATTATGTCAGAGGGTGATATCTGTGAATAGATAAGTTGCTTTTTAAGGTGCAAATAATAAAATGACTGAAGATCACACAGGAAATTAATACCGTCTTTTTGGGTGGAGAGACACAGATAGGCAAAACGTTTCTGGTGGGAAATGAGACTGGCTTGGGACACAGAGGATGTGGCTCTGAGCACAGGACCAGGTGAATCACCCATCTGCTAAAAGCATGAGGACCAGAAGCAGGATCAGGGCCACCAGCATGCAGGAGGAGATGACGACCATGACGACCATGCCATCAGAATGGCCCTTGAACCCTTCATCAACAAGGGTCACACACACACCCTTCCTCGATGGAGCTACTGGCTGCAGCTGGAGTGTCACACAAAAATGCACAGGAACACACGCCAGGCCAGCCCCCAACAATCTAACCATATGCAGCACTACGATTTCTGGTTAACAAGTGAGCAATTAAAAACAATATTACAAACATTATTTAACACATCGAAACAAAAAAGGTTCTGCATTGTTTTGGTTGTCAAATATTTCATGCACGCAGCGTTTCTAGAACATTCGTGTCATTTCATCAGTAACAATCTAAAACCCAGCCCACGAGTCCGTGTATCGTGCTCAAGGCTCCCCCTACTGGTACAATATCGGAATCACACTTTGATTTTGTGCACCAGATTGGTCAGACATAATATTTTGAAATGCCATTTCAAAAAAGACTTTTAAAATAATGGGAAAATACAATTCCTTACGTGAGAGTAGGCTGATGTAGTAAGACCATTTTGACTCAGAGACTATTCTGTTCATCCATAAATCAATGAGGAAATATTTCACCCTGACAACACAACATGGTTACAGGTCATTTATGAATTCCTCAGTATTTTCATTAAATTGGCTTTTCACTGTAAATTCTCTTGTTAAAGACATTTCAGTTGCCTACAAAGCAGGAGATTCAATTTAACCTAAAGACGATAAATATCATATATCATATATAGTTTAATATCATTATATTTGACATAGTCAGCAGCATTGTTTACCACCCCCCACTACACACATTTACGTGCACCCCCCCCCTCCCCCAAACTCTGGAGTTCCCCCTGTGGGTAAAAAAAAAATCACCATACGCCCACCCCCTTCCCCCAATGAAATACACACTAATTAGTTTAATTAGACAAATATGTTCTAATTCATTTTCATTAAAATCTAAACTGCCCCCCCCCCACCCCCGGTGAAGCCCTGGCTCCCCTGGTAATGCACACAAATAGTAATGTTAGCATAGCTCTGAATATGTGACATCTCGTAGTATTCACAAGCCAGGGTTGCTATGGAAACCGCTGGATATCCATCTTCCATCCACACTGCAGGGGCATGGAATGTGGCTGACACTGAAGATCCAAGACGGCATTCCCATCAGCTGTGGATCACTAGCCGGCTTCATAGGAACGTACCTGATAGTAGAACCAACTGGCAGGATTCCATTGCAGTCTGGGGTTGTGCAGCTCCCGTCGTCTCCGACCCGGAAATACTTGATTCCCGGGAGCTCAACACAGGGAAAGTCCTGCAAGGGACCCAGCCTGGTGAGGTAGTACTTTGTGCAGCTGTCACCAATGAACGCCTCAGGGTATGGCGAGATACTCAAGATGTTCCACCTGGACTTACCACTGTCGAAAGTCTCCACGCCTGATTGCATTGTAGGAGACGTTAAGAGATAGTGCCAACAGCAGCGTAGATGGGGACATGCCAGCAGAGTACTGTCACAAAGACCGCTGGGAATATTCCTGATGCTGCCTTCCACTTAGGACCAGTGCGACTCAAACCCTGACCTCACACACCAACCTTCAGGGGCGGACTTACCATAAGGCAGGGGTAGGCAGCTGCCTGGGGCGCCTGAAAACTAGGGGCCCCATGAAGACAGAATTTCCAGAAGTTACATTTATTAATATAAGATAATATGATCTTTTAAATCATAGCAACATGTCTGTTACTTGCATTTTTAGCAACAGTTTTCGGGGTAGACAAAGTTGCCCCCCGTCCCAGCTGTAATGGACTATTCCTACTATGTGATTCACACTACACAGTTTTCTTTTCACACTGGAGTCTAGTGACAGGCCTCTGGGTGCTTCACTGCCAAGTGAACCGACACAAAGTAGCCTGACAGAGGAAGAAAACAGTGTGAAGATACAAGACTAATATTACATCTCCCGTGTCTTTGATACTGTACCGTTAGAGTGGTAAACAAATTGTGAGCAGGCGTTAAGAAAACACATTAAATGAAAGGAAAGTATGCAAAAATTCAAGACTAACCTTAGCCTCAGGGGCCACAGCAAAAAAGAACGGTCAAAATGCTTACACTTGGCCAGTTGATCCTCTGGCATGATACCCCCTCCCCCCGGTCAGCAAATTTTACGGACCCCTACCCTCAGACTGATCAGTGAAATTTGTTAGTGGTATTATGACTATTGCTAGCTTCTTAGCTGGATTGTTTTTTATCAGCTACAGATATTCATAAAGAAATTCAATAGCTAACAATGATTCAGACAGAATCTTCGGAAATCTGTTTCTTGGCTATCAAATAATATAAAAATAATTATCGGTATTGTAAAACTTCACCTGTGACCCTGTGCCCTTAAGGAAAACTATGGAGAACAGTCCAAGTCCTGCCGATTCAGAGGCATGCTTTCTCTTTCAGGTATTATCCCACTAAAGCTTCACAGGATTCGACAAATGAAACAAAGAGCACAACAGCGTGAAACACAGCGATCACAGAGATGACAGGGATGACAGTATCATTGCCTGTGATGACGATGGCAGTTTTGACCTGGCACGTACAAGTGCATAGGCACTATATTTTACATATTTTTAATCTTACTAAGTTCTTTATCCAGAAGCGTACTATATAATCATTGACATTTCTCTTTTGTTGTCACACCCAAATGACGGCAGACGGACTCTCCCATCTTGTCATGCTACTATAAACAGATTGCACTCTGGTTACCAACCAAACAGTTCCCGCCCATTTCAACACGACTGTTTGCCCAGGAAAACACGTTGAGTCCTGAATCGATGAGGCTCCACCACATTAAAGTCTGTTTTGTATATAAGCGAGTTACTTAATTTCTCTGTGTTTGACAATGTCTGACAATGGCGAATAAGCACATTTAATAGCCATTTAATAAATCTGCACTCGAGTATCTGTGCCACATTAGCGAGGCATAGGGAACACTGGTCTGCTCCTTTATGAATCCTCTGACATAAGTCTGTGGCATAACTAAATGAATAATTCTTTCACAAAGCTATATGTAGTTACTTATTCAAATCCAGTTCAACAATAATTGCGATACAATTTCAATGTTCTAGCATGTGGATTTCAATTTAAAGAACTTAACAGTATACCAATAAATGTATAATTAACATGTTCAGATGAAGGCTTCTCAGGGTTTGTAAATTACTTGTTGTTTATTGGGGTTTGCAGCAGATTAACATGTTAGCCTGAGGCCCGATTCTACCCCACTGAGTGTCAAGGTGAAAAGGGGGAGAGACGGTGTCGCCTAGAATCCTGAAAAACCAGTTCATCCTATTTTCCCAGTCGATCCCTTCATGGGCCAATAATCTCTCTCACTGAATATATGATACACAATTTATGGAATCAGCTTTTAAATCTGAAGCTGAAACATTACCCCAGCTAAAACATTTACCTAACATTACGATTAAGGTATGTAAGCTTTCAAAGTGCCCAGTTTTCCTGATGTTCACAGAACATTAGCTCACTACTACAACTACTACTACAACCGTGAACAGTAACAGAGGCCCAAACCAAGGACATGGCAGCAGAGTAGGGAGCGTTCTGGCTTTCCACCCCGAAGGTTATGGGTTCAAGGCTAGATGGTGTGTTCACAGTATACACATATAGGACTCTGATAAAATAATTTTAATTTTAAAACACTATCATTCAACATTAATTGTGCTTAAAGCATGTCAAATAATACTGTTATTGTGGTGACATTGACAGAACCTTTGTTAAAATGTAAAACACGGAAATAAAGTTCCACTAAGGTAAGAACGTTTTCTGCCAATTTTGAGAAGACCTTCAAATAACACTGGCTACATTTCTTGGACTTTCATATAGGCCAATTTATATAGGACACAAGCCAAATATTTTGATTATATATTTGATCATATATATTTGATTGATTCCTGATCCACTACAAGTACAGCATGTATTGTGTTGTTCTTTTATGTCAAATTGTTTCTATTATTAATTTCTTTGTAAATCTAATTAAGAAGCTGAGTCAACAAAAACCAATTAAAAAAACAAAATATTGTAACCCCTAATTTACTTTGTTTAATACCCAAAGATTTTCTATATACCAAGTGTTATTCCATAAAAAAATGCGTAATGACAATATTACTTAATGAGAATATTTATTACAGAGACTTAACATGAGCATTTGTGGCAGATATAAGAGTAGAACACCATGAAATAAATCTTATTGGTTTCAATGAGCATTATAAAATACAGAACTATATCTGAATTTTTAAGCTTTTTGTTTATGGTCACGTCATTAACACCATTTACATGAAATAATAACAAAAACATCCCAATACCGGTATATTTGCTCCCATGTGAACTTGACGGTGTTTAAAATAACAACACCTAGTGAATGCAACTTGTCACTTTTAAGGTATTAAATGAGAAACGAGATTATTCCACATTTTGTAATACAACTGCCTGCCAGCTGGATCCCAATACCTGCTTGGACACCAGTGAAATGCATTTTATAAATACGTGTTCAGTTAAGTAACACGTTTTTAAAAAGACCGTTTAATAAATCACTTTTCAGCCAAAAAGCTATGTCAAAACCCTTAGATATTCCTCTATATCAAAAACCCAGGACAACGTAATGTGAACGCGTAATTTAAGAAACACACACCTTAAGTAGGCCCTACATCAGAGACGTTAAACATTCCCATCCTTATAAAAAAAGACAATGTTAAGCATTTAGTGAAAGCAAAGTTACGTCAGTTATTCATTCATGAAAAGCACTGCACTGGACGCAGGAGAGCAAGGTAAAAATGTGAAGTAGGGAGCGAAAACCCATTACTTAGGTATCTCATATAAACGTTTCTCTTGGGTAATGTACGGCAGACTGCAGTAGGCCTATAGCCTATATCTGTGACTCCTTCCTGCATCTCTATAAACTTGTATTTGCAGGGGGGCTGATCGCTTTCCTTTGTCCATCATCAGCGGCAACTACGTTTACTGTACGTTTCAAGCGGCCAGGCTGCAACTGAGCCATTCATTCACATTTTAAAAATACGCCGCGCAATTCAATGTTTACAATTTCATGCACGAATTAAGGACAGCGAATGTTGCACGCAGCGGCTGATAAACGCTGCCTTATGGAAGGTGTCTGCAGCAGACGGAAGGCCAGGAAACACGGTTCTATTGAAATGTAATTTAAATGTAAAACTATATTTTTGGGGGATGGGGATGGGGGGACGATGATGCCAAATTAATTATTGGAGGGATACACGCCCCTGATTCCTACGCCCCTGCACACCTATATTGCTTTATACACATACACTTCCCGCCCCACATAAATATTTATTCAGTTTGTTTTATAATAGCCTATTCTTACTTAAAGTCAGTTGATCGTTTGGAAAATATAGGTGTTTGTCGTTCTTGGGCAATAAAATAAATCTGATTTAAAATAATAAAAAAAAAATACATAATGTTTTAAAAAGTACTGTAGCAATTAACACCCATGTTTATTATTACGGTACAATTATCAGAGTAAAACTTATTCCTGCCTGTTTTTGAAAATATTACTATGATTTTAAACTATTTGAATTACTGAACTGTAATTTACTGTTATGATTCATTAATGGTTTTCCGTAGATTTAAGATTAGTACAGGTCGAGCAGACAAATCATGAAAATAAATTGTCATTGTTCAAAATAAATAGGAAGGTTTAGCAGTGAGAAGTCTGCAACTTTTAGAGCGCATGCATGCGGCTCGCGGTCCATCCAGCCACTGCTCTGCGCCGCTTTCCTCTGTTCCTTTACTCTAAGCGTTTTGCACCTAATTCACGAATTTCTGATATCTCTGCAGCTTCACAGAGTCCTGGAGGTCAGGGGCAGTGGGCTTCTGATTGCTGGTTAGTACGTCATCGGTGCTGAACTTCTTGACGTCATCTGCATAGGTGGTGTTTGTATATGACTGTGGTTCGTGGACGTTGTGAGTCTCGTACTTCTTGACGCGCAAAGAGCCGAGGACCGGTAGAGGTTCTCGTTCAGTGAATGTTGCGAAGCGGCTACAAGATTAAGAGGAAGGAGAAGAATGTGTAATCATATCATTTAAAAACGCAACACTTTCAAAAGACGTATCTGATAATTCATATGAATATCACAGTCAGACTTACAGGGGCCCAGATACTAGTGACTAGGGAAAAGGAATCTCTGAATTTTGTCTTCAACAGTCACCCCCCCAACCGCGCTCAGCATATTTTCTGTTAGGGTGGGGCCAGCACGAATATTGGTATAGGGATCGAATCAGATCGCAAAGGAAATCAGTGGCATGACCCCCTCCTAATAAATATAATGTAATGAGTGTGAAGGTGATGCTTTCATAATTACCGGCCAAAGATCAGGGCGAAGATCAGGAGCAGCAGCAGCAGGAAGAAGAGGACACACAGTATGGCGGTGATGATAATCATTCCAGCAGAACGTCTCCTTAAGCCATTATCGATGGTTGCGGGGTTTGTTACTGTGATGAGAAACATTGTGCAATGTTATCTAACACATCCCTCTGTGTGTTTGTGGAACAAGAAAAAAAACGACAGCAGTAGAGCCATACCAGAATTAAGAGTGACTGCGCTGGACCAACTTGTATCCATAATGATCTGGTTGTTTGTTGTGTTAATTAGGACGTACTTAAAACTGAAATTCAAGATTCAAGGTTTTATTTGTCACATGCATTTATCCTGATACAACTTGCAGTGAAATGAAAATTTGGCTTGCCTGTTTTTTACTGTGCAAAAAAAAAGACTAGGTTAACTAGACAAAGATTAAATTTAATAAGTTGAGGACGTGGGCTAAAAGTAAAGGTGAAATAGAAGATAAATAAAAAGCTATGTTTAAAAACAGTATTTGGATAAATCTACTGTTCAGTACTATTCAAAATACTAAATGCTGTTCATTACAAGTTCAAAAAGTACCTAAAATACTATTTTACTATGCTAACACTAATAAATACTACTGCAATAGAAAGTACTTCAAACAGCTCAGTTCATGAACACAGCTATTGATGCATTACCTTTATTAGCTCATCAACGCATAAACGACCTCAACAGCTAACACAGCAGTTTATTAGTCAGGTGACAGATGAGAAGAGCAGCCTGGGATGTCGGGAAGGTAACTGGGCAGCAGCGTACCTCACTGTGGAGCCGGCTGGTAACGCCCCATTGCAGTTTGTGCTACTGCAGTTCCCGTCCGATCCCACTCTCACATACGTGATTGTATTTGACGCCACGCACGGGAAGCTGCTCAGCATCCCTACTCTTGTCAGGAAGTAGTTCTTCGAAGAGTTTGTCGCGAAAGCGGTTGGATAAGGAGATAGTTGCAGTATGTTTGCATTTGTCTCGTCACTGTTGAAATTGGCCATTCCTGTTCAAATGGAGAAATGTCTTTGCTTTAACTTCATCACATAGCTAGGTCCAGAATTTTCCATACTGAATATATTCATGCTCTGCAATTTAAGCACCGACTCAGCTAACATTTGAGGTGTAACTTAATACAAAAGTATAGCATTTAAAATACCACAAAAGCAGTACAGACAGTTATATGTCCCTATTCCACAAAGAGCATTAGGGCAACCTAGAAGGAAAAATACATGTTTGAGATTAAAGTTGAAAGTTCTGAGACTAAAATTGAAATAAAGTTCCGAGACTTAAGTCAGAAGTTTTGAGGTAAAACTTGAACTCTACAGATGGCTTCTTCTAACACAGTGGTTCCCAAACTGGAGGGTCGCGAGATGATTTGCAGAATTTGTCTATAAACAATGTGAAAATAACCCATTTTAATCATCACCACAACCAGTCGATTGTAAAAAATCTACCGAGCCCCCCACCACCACTGAGCCTCAATAGCCCGTACCATAATAAAGGTTGTAGACCACCAATACAGACTTAGTGGGGGTCGCGAGTCTCTGGCACTGCTATTTGGGTCACGGGCTGAAATGTTTGTGACCCCATATCCTAGCAGAAGTGAGTTTTATTTTGTGTGAAATGAAAGCAGCTGAATGTGAGGCATCTGCATCGTGTCGTCATGTAAGATGATTCATCTCCAGCAGATATTTCACAGTCACCGGTTTCTAACTTTATTTTGACTTTGTTTTATAATTTCATTCCATTTTAGCCGGTCCTAATATTCCTCCGTACTGTGCCCTAAAGAGGAGATGATGCGTATGTACCTGGGCCCACAGCAGGAACTATGTAGATGTCACACTGCACTTGGCAGAGTGGAGGGGCTGCGTTAAAGTAGCAGTAGGGCTGGTTAAGCACGACGGTGGTGCTGGTGATCTTTGCTGCCAAGTTGTAGCTAGAGACCTGAGGTGGTGTATTCATTTGCGTAACTGTTGAGAGAAACAGAGAAAGAAAACAAACAGACTGGATCTTTAGGTAATTCCAGAGCATACACCGTCAAAATGACTATTTTGCCCATCGCTGGTTGTTTTTTGGGGTTAAGTTTAGGATAGAAGATGCTTCAACCAATCATTGTGTGGGTTTAGGGTTAGGTTTAGGGTACATTATCATCCCATCCATCACTGGCATATTTTTAACTGTTACAGGCACCTGTGTGTCTAAAGACTCTGTTGCGCAAGATCTACTTTTATAGAGAAGAGCCGGTTGAGTTTGGTGGCTTTTTGTATGGGAGTGTTTCTTCATCGGGACAGTAAGAGTCCGGGCAAGTTCAGTCACGTCAGGCAGGAATGAGGGACTGACGCATGGGACACTATCATGAAGTGTCCTCACCCAGGGTTTGAGGCAAGTCTGGAGTCTGACGCGGATATGAAGCGGGGTGGATGTGACAAGAGACCTGCTGTAATGACACATACAGGCAGGACATAGCCAGAGCAGCTTGCCGAGCAGAAATTTCACTTTTCAGACGACAAGTCTGGGCAATCGAGGCGGGTACCTTCAGATCTCAGTGTCCCACTGAGAACATCTGACAATGTTCCTGTAAATTAATGCCACTCTCCCCGATATTATCATTTCGCTACAATTTCTAAATGCAAATCAACTGTTTTCTTATAAGTTTTCAGAGGTGCCTGACACTCAAAATAGGCACATTTATTACAATAAATATGATGAAGTCAAAAAGAAGCATGAAAGAGTCTTGGATAAGCCATTTAGACATCTACGAGTAGCAAACCGGCGTCCGAAGATTCGGTCAGCCTGACACATTCAACAAGAATCTAAATGGACACAGTGACAGAGTCAGTATCTAACTGCCAGTGATGAAAACCAAAGAAATTGTACATAATTGCATCCATAAAGAAACAAAGGATCTACAGTACAGTGCAGAAGACAGTGAAACAAAATGTTTAAACTTGTTTTTCTGGATAGTAAGTATACATTTGTTCACGAAACAAAAACATTTAATATTATTAGAATTTCAATTTTAAAAAATTATATAAAATTTAACATTAGAAGTAACGCAAATGAATAGAAAAGATTTTCTCTGAAGAAGAAAAGTTAGATGGTTAGAACACTGTTTCAGTTCCTAAACTTCTCCTCAGATGCACTCAAGCTATTCAATGTATTTGATACATTTCACCACCAGCTCAATTAATTAATTAACTTAATAAGTTAAATAACTAAAAAAATATGTTGGTTTATTTGATGGTTGCAGGACAATACTGGGATGATTTTAGATGTTTTGAAATGGCTAAGCTGACACTTTGACATATACAATAGTTTTACACCAACATGAAGATCATTTAAACATCATTAACTACCTTTTGCATAGTACTGTACATGTCTAAACACATCCAGTGGAATATCCACATTCGTAACGCTTCTCACATGCCATTTTAAGCTTTCGTGTTTTTCATTAAGTTCTGGATTCATGAAAGAAAAAGTAGATGGAAAATGTACTTACTGCCCCCTTCCACAACAGAAAAGAACAGGAATAAAATGACACAGGCCTCTGTGAGCAAAGCCATCTTAGATCACTGTGCTGGTGACAGACCCCCTATGAGAATGTTCTGTGTCTGTACAGAGCACCTGGGCCGGGCTGACTGAGCTAAAACAGAGGGGTTGAGGTTTAAAGCAGGTATTGTGTGGAGCTATGAGCTGCCCTCCCACAGCAGAGCGTGGAGAATGCATCCCGTCAGGGTGTGGAGGGCATGAATGTGGGAACGGCCGCTCGACGCATTTCGGGCCATTCAGGATCAAAACAGGCACCAGATGAACAAGAAGCCAAGTTACAAACAGCCGCGAACGTGACGAACAAGGCGACTGACGTAAAACGACGGACAGAAGTCCTCCTAGGCAGACGAGGGAGAGGATAACCGAGCACAAGAGAGAGAAGCATGTTCTTCAAGTTTAGGTACAATAAATTAAGGCAATCAGTGTCCTGTTACCTTCACTAAACCCTCACAAACTGTTCATTTTCATTCTATCCAGCAGCCAAATCAACTTCCTTTTGGAACAAATTGTGAATAGAAAACTTCGATGTCTACAGGATAATTGATAAATGAAACATCTGTATGTGTGATACGATAAGCCTCAATGTTCTAACACTACTCTGCAAAGACATCAGACTTCAAATCATGTAAACTCTTAAGGGACTGCACCTTATTTAGACATACGGTATAGATGATCTTTTCAAATGGGAAATTCTTTGATTAACTTTCATTTGTGTGTGATCTCTTTGGACATATTAGAAAAAAATGTTCCACTCTCAGGACTTATCGAACATAACAAAGTGACATCGGAGAACAGAACAGAGGAATGGTGCAAGCCGAGGTGTATAACAATACAACTGGAAAGTAAAAATAAAGAGAATAAATTAGCAAAATGTTGTATAAAGGGACCAACGGTATTGTGAAATTGAAGTACAATGAGAACATACATGAATGAATGAGAGAATGCAGGAAATACTAGGAAAGTCTAGAGAATGAGGATGACAGCCAGGGGGCAGCAGAGGCAAGTCCCCAAGGGGACCTGGATGGGGGGGCAGAGGATCGTTCCCAAGAGGCCCAGTCTGAGGGAACCTGCACCCTGTACAAGCAGAACTTGAATGCTTGTGTAAACATAAGTGTGTTCAGGGAACCGGTTATTTCCGGTGGGATCTCTATATATCATAAATATATATTTCAAAAACCAGTAGTTCCAGTAGTGAGGATCCTTTCTGCCAGCACAACATGAACGTTTCTCATTTACCTATAAACCTATAAACAATAAAGGTGAGGGTTTCTGCTACCCCTCTACATTCAGAGCGCATTTCTGATGGCCCAACCCCAATCCCAGCCTTCACTAATGAGGATGGATGGATGGATGCAGACATGATAATATCTTGTATTAGAAATATTTTGGGAAAAATGCTCTCTCTACAAAGTATCTCCTTACGAAGAATGAACATATTAATGAATGTGCAGTGTTTGTGGGTTGGTTCCCACAAGCCAAAGGCATGCAGTCAGCCTGACTGGAGTCCCTCAGCTGCCTGTAGCATATATGACCACCATGTAATGCAGGGCTGCCAACTGTCACGCATCTGGCGCGACTCTCACGCTCACGCAAGAAATCTCACAGAAAATCTCTATTATTCCATTATAAACCTAAAATGATCTACACCAAAAGTGTTGGGGTAGTTTGCAAACCCTACAAAATATTTAAAAGGTAATAAAACTGTTACGTACATGTAAATGTGGGTGCATGTGTGTATAGACATATCACTCCAGCCAGCTGGCCAAAGTTGACAACCCTGGTAATGGACTGGAATCCCACCCACAGTGGGCACTTCAAACACCACAGAAAACATGGCCATTATATTCAAGAGAAGCCCAACATTCCTATGGCCGGTATCTCCAGAACTAGGCATCTCCCAGCAGAATGACCAACATGGATAGATAGCATCCCCCCCCCCCAAAAAAAAAATCTTCTTCAGTTTTGGGGTGAACGGCCCCTTTTACACCTGTAATGGACAGGCATCCAGCCCAGTGAGCCTCATACTCACCCTTCATACACTGCTGTTTTTTTAATTAAGAACTTCAGAGAAAGACAAGAATTCCTAATGTCACTGTCACACTTTTCAGTTTTCTTCGGTCTTTCATTGACAGAGGAGGCCGGCAGATCATTCCGGCAAAAATTACATCACAATTGACATGCAATAATGCAGTAATGTACAGTAATTAATACATCGTTTAGCTAGAGGAATCGAGTTAAAATCAATCCTTACGACAGCCGACCACAAAGATCCAGTCTGGCCCGCAGCTAATTTGAAAAGCTTTTAAAACTGGTGTGTCGAGCATCTGGAAGCTCTCAAGAGGACTTATGTCTCACCAGCATGAAGCTTTCAAACGACTTCCACATGCCCGTAACGCAGAGGAGTGCTGCAGGACTGGTATGGAACGCCACACACATTCCCAGGAACGCCTGAGAGCAGAAGCTGGCGGAATGCGTGGAGCCCTGGATTCCCGATTCCCCCCCCCCCAGACGCTGCTTTGGAGCACAATCCAGAACCACAAGAGGCTGGAGACCTACAGCATTCTGAGGGCAACTTCTGTATCCTGCAGCCCTATTCGACGTCTTTAATTAACGAACGCCAGAGTGAAGCAAGGAGGGCTAATACCGTTCTTATTCTAAAATCCGACAGGACGGCCAAGGGCATGGATAAGAGTTACGAGAACTTCAATTTATATTTTTTTAACTCAGAACTGAATTGCAAAAGGTACTTAACGTCTTTATTGAATGCATATACACACATACAAATGGTAGGAATCTGTGGGGTCATGTCAAACCCCGATGAATTCTGAACAGTCATGTGACACAAAGAAAATGCCAGGAAGAGCCTCAAAATAAACGACCAAACATCCGGTTGCCGATCAGACATGATCCTGACAAACCAAAAAAAGCTTGAACTCCACCACTGTCCTGTTTCCACTGGCAGGAAACATCTCAACCAATCAGGCTGTCCGGGATCCGAGAAACGAATCAGGGCCAGTTTTCCTGGCTGCCCTCTGAATGTGACCCCCAGGCCGTGATCAGGGACCGCTGCAGGGGATGGTCACCTGTGGCCCATCACAAAGCTGGGGACCTCGGCGTCATCCTCAGCTTCCCGCTCCTGCACACCCTCCTGCTCGCTGCTGGATTCGCTAGTAGAATCTGTGGGGGGGGGGGGGGGGGGGGGGGGGGGGGGGGGGCAAGAGGCAGACAGGCTGAGATTTAAAGAGCAGGTGGATAAGCCGGGGACTGTGGGATGTCACACTCCTGTCTGCACGGCCTGCAGTTATGCATTCCTGATCACATGCATTTACGCCGTCAAACGGCGACGCGGAACGCCACGTCTTACCGTCAGCCCTCCTCTCCTCCTGCTTGGCTTGCTTGGCCATCAGCTTCTTCTGCTTCAGCTTCTCCCTAAAACAGGAAGCTTACACTTTACAAGGTGCAGCAGGGTTACACAATCGACCTGGGCTGAAAATGACACCCCGACGTGAGCATGCAGTACAGTGATACTGACAAGCCAACCTGGGGAGGGCAAGCAACCGCCACAACCGCTATGGCAGCACGAGTGGGCAAATCCTTATGTAACTGTGAGAAATAACATTAAAGGAGTTCCTTATAAAATACTACATAGATGTGACCCTTGTAACAGCTTGGCACCTACACTTGCTGATAGTTGCAGTTGCAGTTAGCGTCCGTCTGTTGAACACCTTTCCCTTACCTTTTTATACTTTAGTTGGATTTCTTCCTGGGTGCCAAAATGACTATGAGACTTTCATGTTTTTTTCTATTACTCCAATTCAAATAAAGGGGAACACTATGTTGTTAATTTGCTTGTTCTTTTGGGAAAAATACTAAAGCCCACAAAATTAAATTCTTAAAAAGGAAACCAGTCTTCGAGAGTTTTCTCTTTAGCATATACATTAAAGTAAAAAAGGTTTTAAATAAAGTTATCTGTGCAATACAGGCCTTGGTCAGAAATAATGTATTTCATTTCTATTTACCTACCTATTCATTACTTGGTTACTGATGTGCTTTGTTTTGTTTTTTACCTTGTTTATCCGAGTTCTTTTGTGCGGTTTCCCTCTGGCTATGATGCTTTGTTCTTGACACGCACAAATCACACACACACACACACACACACACACACACACACACACTTGGCAGACCTTTGAGGGTATAGCCTCAGTGACAAGCAAAGGTACACATTTTGAGAATATATATATATATACACCAACTTCCAGGACCACAGAGGAGTTCTTGAATGCTCATATTTAAAAAGCAACCATATACCTAATAATAGCTTAACAATTAAGCTTAATTATAGAGCTCAACAATCGGAATAATTCACAAAAAAAAAAGAAAAAAGTTGTCACTGTAGAGCCACCTAAAGGAACCGCTGTGTTTGACATTACAGTCATTGAGACCATAGGGAGGACAGCGGCAGTGTGGGGGAAGTTACTCACAAAAGTAATCCATTACAGACAGAGGTGGATAGTTCAGGTCCAGGAAGTACAAATCCAAACCAAGGTTTTGTTTCACCCAACCAGTTGAGCATAAAGAGTCACAGTCACAGAGCACTCAGTTGGCTGGCTGAAACAAAACCTTGGTTTGGATTTGTACTTCCTGGACCTGAACTATCCACCTCTCTAATGGATTACGATTGTGAGTAACTTTCCCAACACTGGACAGCAGTGTCTTTAAAAAGGATCACAGAACCATTTTCATTGGGTTGTGAACTGTGTGGTTAAAAAAAAATATATAGTGAACATTTTTTTTCTAATGTCAGACTTTTTTTAACAGTGTATGAACACATTGTGCTGTTACCCAGGAAAAATGTGGCTGAGGCTAAAGCAGCCGAGAAGTGCTGCCATACAGTAGGCAGAGTACTGAGCTCCTGATACACAACCCCGCTTAATAAACCTACAGCTAAGTGAGGATGCGTAGTCTCAGTGCTAAGCAGGGACCCTCACCTCTTCCTCCTGCGTTTAGCTGTCTGCTCGTCCGCCTTCTCCTTATTTTCCTTTAATTTTTCAAGGTATTCAAGATCCAGCCTTTGCTAAAAACAATACCAAAGACAAGAGAAATCTGTCTGATTCTGGAAAACTGTCATATTACCAAACGAAGGTCTTCTTTGTGCTGAGGACTTGATGCCCCAATGTACAGCTCTGAACAAAGTTCTTCATCAGTGGTCTCACCCAAAGGGACCAGCAGTTTCACACAGATTAATATTCAGCCGCATTCCGCACGGCATCACACTTGTTGCCGGAGGTACCGACCTTGTCGCTCAGCCTCTCCAGGAATTCCTGCCGCTGGTACTCCCGCCTCCGCAGGTGCCGGTACACGTGGAACTCGCCGCTGCCGGCGCCGGCGCTGGAGCCTGTGCAGAACTTTAGTTAAGGAAGGCCGGAAGGTGCGGCACGTACCGATCGTTCACTACACTTCGTCTTCTATAGAAATGCACCTGGCTTTTTTGACTATTATAGATAACTCTATCCTACTATTATACACTGAGTACAATTATGGAAGCAGGTGGAAAAGCATATCACAGTGTATGTCAGCATATGACGAATACAATTTGAAAGCGATAAAAACCCTTATCATTATTATTATTATTATTATTATTATTAACGCATAACAAGCCGCCAGTGTAAACACGTTATTCCCTTTTCCATATTCATCCTTTCCCCGTTTTATACACCATTTTGAGTAAATCATATAGGAATGGCCACACACTCTAGTCAGGTGCATTGGGGTGACTGTGCTATGAAAGTCGTTATATATAAAAATCGAATTGAATACCCATAACATCACGCACGAACTCCGGGGGGGCGCGGGGCTGCCACTCTTTGGGTCTTTCAGGCACGGGTGCAGGCTTGTCCTGCACACAATGGGTGTTATCGACTGTTACTTTTGATAGCCGAGTTAAAATTAATGCGAAAATAGCGACGGGAAGTGTAACAGTAGTGAGTAGATCGGATCAAAACCCACCGGGTTTCGCATCAACCGTTCGAGTTTAAGTTTCTGCTCCTCCGCCGCAGTCTTTGCGATGATTAGCGGCTGCGATTCTTTTCCAGAACTTTTCCCCGGCCGTGAATCCTTCTCCTTAGGGGCCGCCATGTTGGGAGCTGCAGGCGGAAACAGTAGCCGGAAGTTACCGTCTTGCTCATCATTCCCCCCCACCGAAAGTTTTGAGATCGTGGTTTTTATGTTACTGCCACCATCAGTCGCGGAATGGTAACTGCAGCCATTTTCAATGACGAAAACGGCATATAGTGAGTTCCGCATCCCCCGGCGCGAAGAGGAAAGCAAATAAAATCTAAAAAAGGCATGTTAATATTTTGAAGTGGAAGGTGATTGTGAAATGGCGTAAACCTTCCTATAAGCAAGCGGATTACGCACACAGGCAGTGCTGTCAATGACTGACTTTTGTTGTTGTCGTTGTTGTTGCTGTTGTTGCTGAATGACTCAAAGAATTAAGGGCTTATTTGACACGTGTAAGACACATTCAAGCATCAGTGCTGTGTTCATTTATTTGTGATGCACTCTAGGAATATGAAGGTAAATAAAATGTAAATGAACGTAATTTCTTCATACACACACACTATAGACAAAAGTACTGGGATGCCTATCCATTAAACCCACACTAGGAATCAATATGGACTTCGTCCCCCCTTTACAGCTATAACAGCTGCCACTCTTCTGGGGAGACTTTCCACAAGATTTTGGAGTGTGTCTGTGGGAATTTTTGCCCATTCATTCAGAAGAGCATTGGTGAGGTCAGGCACCGATGTTGGACGTGAAGGCCTGGCTCGCAATCTTCATTCTAATTCATCCCAACAGTGTTTGATGGGGTTGAGGTCAGGGCTCTGTGTGGGCCAGTCAAGTTCTTCCACATCAAACTCACCTAACCATGTCTTCATGGACCTCGCTTTGTGCATTGGGACACACTCATGCTGGAACAGAAAAGGGCCGCCGTCCCCAAAATGTTCCCATAAAGTTGGAAGCATAGAATTGTCCAATTTGTCCTGGTATATTGGAGCATTAAGAGTTCCCTTCACTGCTACTAAGCAGCCTATTCCACCTCCTGAAAAACAATCCCATACCATTATCCCTCCTCCACCAATCTTTACAGTTGGCACAGTGCAGTCAGGCAGGTAACGTTCTCCTGGCAACTGCCAAACCATCAGATTGCTAGATAGAGAAGTGTGATTCATCATTTCACAGAGCATGTTTCCACTGCTCCAGAGTCCAGAGGCAGTGTGCTTTACATCACTCCATCCGACACATGGCTTTGCGTTTGGTGATGTGAGGCTTGCATGTAGCTGCTCGGCCATGGAAGTGCATTCAGTGAAGCTCCCAGCGCACAGTGCTTGTGCTGAGGTCAATGCCAGTGGACGTTTGGAACTATTGAGTCAATAGTGTTGGTGACTTTTATGCACTATGCGCCTCAGCACTCTGTTACTTTACGTGATGGTCTGCCACTGCTGAGTTTTTTTTGGTCCTAAACGCTTCCACTTTGCAATAATACAACTTACAGTTGATTGTGGAATATCAAGCAAAGAAGAAATTTCACGAAATGATTTATTGCAAAGGTGGCATTCTATGACAGTACCACACTTGAATTCACTCAACTATTCAGGACGGCCCATTTTTTCCACAAATGTTTTTAAACCTGACTGCATGGCTAGGTGCTTGATTTTATACTACAGTGGCAATAAGTCTGAATTCAGGAGGTGTGTCCCAGTACTTGTCTGTATTGTGTGTACACACTTACTGTAAATATACAGTGTATATACAGTATGCAGCAATCAGCCATAACATTAAAACCACTGTAAGGTGATGTGAATAACTTTGTTTATCTGGCAAATGGTCTTAGTGACTTTGACAAGGGCCAAGTTGTGATGGCTAGATGACTGGGTGGGTGCATCTCCAAAAGGGCAGGTTTTCTGGGGTATTCCTGGGGTGCAGCAGTCAGGACCTACTGTGAGAGCAAAAAAAATCTGTTGTATTGCTTAGTGGTAGTTTAGCAGTTTTAGAAAAATATTTAGTGCTAAGTATCAGTAGTTTCGAGTTTTAAGAAGTAGGTAATTTGTTAGTATGCTACATTGGATTGAATTTTCACATTTATTCCATTTATCTGATGTAATCCTTTAGTTTGACATTTGCTCCATTTTTTTTTGCAGGAAATGTGATTTAAATGAAGATAGGGAAGTGGTTTTGTTATCGTGTTGCTGGGGCACCGTGACCCAGAGCGGGCGGTGATAGTGGCTTAGGCATGACGTATGCTGATAGTTACTAGAGCGACTCTCCTCTTATGAAAACTGGAGGACATCAGAGGCAGGATGTTTTGGATGGCTGGACCAGCGTTGACTATAAGAAGAGTTATGTAAATCATGTGAAGAGAGATGCCATTCCCACAATTGGGATAAACTCTCCGTTTAATTTACCTAGCAAAACATCATTGCAGCCCAAGTGCACTCCTTCATTGTAATAGTATTCTCCAATAGCAGTGCCCTCTTTCAAGAAATGTGCTGTTCCCCACTGCAAAAATTGTTCAGGAGTGGTTTGAGGAGCATGAAAAAGATTTCAAGGTGACTCGCCCTCCAAATTCCCCTGATCTCAATCTGATCGAGCATCTGTGGGACGTGCTGAATAAACAAGTCTGATCCATGGAGGCTCCACCTCGTAGCTTACAGGACTTACAGGATCTGCTGCTAACTCCTTGGTGCCAGATACCATAGCACCCCATCAGAGGTCTTGTGGAGTCTATGCCTTGACTGATCAGACCTGTTTTTGGTGGTAGAAGTGGGACCTACACAATATTAATCAGGTTTTAATATTGTGGCTGATCAGTGTATATATTTACACCATTTAGATGTTGGTGCACTACATTAAACAAATCTAATCTCTGTCTTCTGTGAAGCCTTGTATTTTCTTGCATCTTGGCACCTGTGCACCAGGATATCCTTTGTTATCTAAGAGCTGGTGCTGTGCTTTTTCTCACTTGCCCGCCGATGCATGAGGCTCACGTATGGCTGCAGGTGCAAGTATGTGTGCATGCATGCATGCACCTCTGCACCTCTGCTTGTGTTTGCCCCCTCAGCAGAATCAGACATCTCGTGTAGGCAGCTGGCGACCATTGCAAATCAGGCCATGAGTGTTTCTGGGATTAGCCGCTTTCAGGACCGGTGTCGGCATGGCGATGACACCCCCATGACCTGTGACCTGTGGCTCGCCTTCCCGGGAACACCGGCCTCCCCGGAGCTCCCTGGTAGCTCCTCACCCCCCGTGTCTCCCCCCCCAGGGTCGCTCCTATCCAGCTGAGCTGTCTGTATGTGTTTGACGCATTACTCACCCCTGCATGCGCGCACACACCACTGCACGCCACATGATTTTTAATGACATGCTGCTGTATTCCCTGCACGTCGAGATTGTGCCGATACATCGCGTGTCATGCGGCTGCAGTTTGGCCAGAGGATAAACGGACGCTCGGTATCAAAGAGGCTTCTCTGGACGAGTACTAAGTGTTCAGTGATGGTTTATCCAGCTCACGACCATCCCAGCAAACACTTGGCAGGGGTCTCCCTGGAACAGGGTAAATTAACATCATAGGAAATAAGTGTATATGACTGAATGTCTCACTCAGCACAGTTAGGGCGAATATTGGTTAAGTGGTACAAAGGGTAAACTGGGACAGTTATGCATTTGATACTCTGTATCTTTATGCCTGTGTTGTAAAAGTGGGAGAAAAAAAGTAAAATTTCAAAAATTGTCTCAAAAATATTGTGCTAACGTGTTTCACATTTATTTATCAATCTACAGTCTACATGATTATTTATTATTTGCACGTCTTTATTTCTTTTTGAATCTCTGTTTTGTATTCTTATTCTGTTTATTGTTTTTTTGTACTATTGGTCTTGATTGTATGTGTAATTGTGCACAAATGACACCATCAGCGGCAGAACAAATTCCGTGCACTATTTGTACTTGGAGAACAAACTGTTTCTGATTGTGTTATATGGGACACTCCGGTGCTCACAGTCTTATGTCATGCAAGAGCTCCCTTTAGGTTTGCCCCCTCCCACCCCACTCCAGTATCTTGCCTTCTCCACTTATGGGGGGGGGACTCAGTTTTACTTTCACCTGGTTGGCTGTCAGAGTACAATCGATGCTGAGAGTGCACAGACAGGACACGCCTCCTTCTCCACTGTGACTTCCAGCTGACGTGACTTTTTTTTTAAACAGTTTATTTTCATTCCTTAAAATCCTCCACGTTCCATGGAAAATCTGATGGAACTTCTCCCTGCGACACGTTCAGTGGGACGGCCCTTTTTGGGCAGCTTACAGAAATTTAAATATATTTCCTGACTTCTCTTAGCTCCGGACAGCAAAGCCAGAAAGAATCAAATTTAAGACATCAAATCAGATCTATGAAGTGTTAAACGTGGCGGAGGGACATCAAAACGGATAGGAGCATTTAATGTGGGCCTTTGCCATCACCAGCGTGGCCTGAAAGGTCACCAAAAAGTCATCGCCGTTAAAGTTGCCTGCCGATCTTAGCAGGAATCCTGTGTCAGTGGGACTTCCCATGCAAAATCTGCCATGCCAATAAAATGATGGAAACAGCAGCATGGAATGTGTCTGAGTGACAGGAAAGCTGGCCAATCACAACTGTGGGTGAAGAAGACAGACAGGAAAATCAGCCAATCAGAGCTGAGGGCGATAGCTGCTGACACTGATGTAACACAAGTCTGAATGAGCTGGGAAGAGAAAGCCCCCCCCACCCTGTTTTCCCCATTCACTCCCCTCCAGCTGCCCCACCAGGCCGCGGTGCTGAGGGGCCCAGTGAGTTTATTGTATTTGAATGGCCCTAATATGTACTTCATTATGCTAATTAATTAATGAATGTAACACAGAACAGATGTGTGTGCTGTGTTTTATTATGCTGTTCCCAAGAGGTCAGGGTATTATTACTCATAATAACCGGGTCACTCGCTGCTGCCGTACTGCCTGAAGTTCCTGGTAGAGACTCTCGTCATCCTGGCTCTGCCACACGGCATTCCTGCTCCCGCCACGTCTGTCGGGCACGCGGCTCGGTGGCCCAGGAACGGCGGAGGGCAGGATCATGTGGCTGAGGCTAAGCAGAACGTAAACGCTTCCTGAGTGATTTTCCTGTTGGCTGTCCTCTGCCTGGGCCCCCAGAGGATTGTCTTGCAGGGGCTTTATGGCGGCAGTGGTGCTGGCCCGGTGCTGGCGTGTAGCGAGTCGATGCTGCTGCGTGTTTATCGGGAAGCGTGTTGCTGTGTCAGCTTCAGACTGGAGCCTCATTTTCACTGGCTCTGACATTTACTTTACATTAAAAAGCCCAGGGATTTGGCCACCAGCTAATACATAAACAAACACTAGCAACCTGGTGTGCTACTCTTCTGCCATCATGACCATTTAAGCCACTCTTTACCCAGGTTAAATTTTACAGTAAAATAGCTCCTGGGCATTAAAAGAATGATTTACAGATGAAAAGGTATGAAGAGTGCGTTTTGGGCAGCCCTCCGGGGGAACAGAGCACGCTTCAGTGCCTTAGCGACAAAGCTAATGGATAAACGACGGAATCTAATTGCAGGTTTCGTGGAAAAACGCTCTCAGGAATGATTCTGGGCTTGGGAAAAGGAAACAACCCTCCCCCACTAAGTAGCCAGTGTTGGTTACATGTAAAGGAAAAAGTGAGGCTTTAACAAACCCCAGAAAGTGGGATGTTTAAGGCCGACACTGTATCTGACCTGCAGGGTAAATGGTGTAACTAAGACTGTCCTGCCGGGCCTCCTGACGCCTCACCCTGTACTGCGCCAGCCTTGATATGGTGTAACTAAGACTGTCCTGCCGGGCCTCTTGACGCCTCACCCTGTACTGCGCCAGCCTTGATGAGGTGCGTGACCCTGTGCTCTCAGAATGACACTGATCATGTGACCTTGGCCCTCCTGGACACGCCCCCTGTCACATATTCAGGCCCCAGTCACATGGGCTATGCTTGTAGAAAGGTCCGTGGTTATGGTGTTTAGTTTCTAAAAGCACGCACATAAAAACCACATGCACGTATGTGATACAAGGATGCAAAACAACGTCTGCGAGCAGGAAACCATCCTTGCAAAGGCGTATTTCTGCTCAGCGCAACCAAATGCGGCCTCACAAGCAAGGGACTGTGGCCAGGACTTGCGACTGCTCAATACTCGCTCGCTCGTCAGGTCGAATTATGAAACTTTGGAGGCTGATACAGTGGCTGATGTCTCCACTCCTTTGATTGGACAAGTTCAACACCCACAGTCTCCACACTCTGACCCCTTGTTTGGCAACAAAATAATCAAGAACATGTCACACCCATGGGTCTTTAACCACCCGACATATATTTCAGATTTTAACCAGTTGTTTGTGTCAAGGAAGGTCATGGGGTTAAATTCAATGTATGTGACTGTGTTTGATTGTGGGTGTGATTGTGGGTGTGATTGTATGTGTGATTGTGTGTGTATGCACTTGCATTGAAAGGAGTTTCTGTAAACAGTATCTAATTCTGCAGCACAGGACACATAGAGAATGCCGGATTGCTAAATAAACCCCAAAACTTATTACCATATCAAATTAAGGCAGACCAGCTATGCGTACAAACTGCCATGAACAAGTAAATCATCTACAGGAGTCATTTTTTGTCTATGTCTTAAAATGTCATGTTTATATCAGGTTTATATACTTATATTATATTATTACTTTCTGATTTGCACTTTGACTGATGAGAATGACAGTGTGGGTCCCCTGCATCCTATCTCTGTAATTGACAAGCTGACTCGGAGTTAGTTCTTGCGGGTTAATGATCACGCTTCAGAAACAGCCATCAGAGAAGGAGAGAGAGAAAGAGAAACGCAGGGTGACTGTTGGTTTGTAACAAACACCATGACATGGACTTTATTAATCACCACTGAGACAGAAGGTGGCTTCCTCCACACGGCTAATCCTCTCTGCCAAAGCGTAGATCCCTGCAAGTCTCTTGCTTTGCTCCCCAGGTGACAGAGGGCCTAATGTCCCCTAGCTGCTTCTGACGGGAGTGACGTTTGAACAGCAGCCATTGTTGTGTCCTGGTTGCCATGGCGACTGGATCTTTGGTGGCAGCTCTGAAATGGTTCTGCCTGGCTGCTGATGGATCCCTTAGGGAATTTTCAGATGCTGTATGGGCAACCCGGCGCTTTTATCCCCCAAGTCGCCATTGGGGCACGCATGCCGGCCTGGTGACGGGTCCAGAAAAGCCATGGTGGCGACAGCCCTATCGGCAAGGTGGTTCCGGCTGGTGCTGGCCGGGACGATAGAGCTGCTGCAGCCGCACAGGCCTGATGGGCCAGCCGGGAATCTGTCCAATCACGCGGAGGCCCACAGGCTGGCCGGGACAGGCATGCGGGGCCCCTGGCCCCTGGGAGTGGCTCTGGACCAGCCGGGTGTCCAGGGGAGGGAGGCTGACTGCATGGATGGGGCCGTGGGAGGATCCAGGGGGGCAACGGGGCAGGATGATGGCGGGCGTAAGCCCGTAGCGGAGCTGGAACACGCGGGGCGGGGCCTGTGCCACAAAGCCATTGGCCCGCAGCTCCAGAGGCTCCGCCTTCTCCTCAGGGGCCACGCAGTGTTTCTGAGCATTTCTCTCGGCCTTGGTGAATTCCTGGATCTTCTCGGTTTGAGCCCGCCGAACGTGGTACGTCTTCCTGGATCTCTGGAAGGACTCCAGGAAGCCCTCCAGGGGAACACTGCCCTCCATGAACCTCTCCAGGAGATCCTGACCCGAAAAAAACAGGCACAGGAGTAAAAAGGATGCGAGGACATATCCACCCCCCAAAACTCTGGCTAATAGTATGTTAATAATGTTAGTATGTTAGTGATGTTAATATTTTAATAGTGTTATTATGTTAGTTGGATAATGTAGTAGCCTTGTACCATCACGTCGTTAGCCTAGCACACGTCAACGACAGACCAGGCTCTTAAAGTCTACTCAGAACTCAAAAATATTCAGCCTCCTAATTGAAAAGTACTATGGAACATATGTCAAAGTCAGAGCTTCGAATGGGAAACCCGACTGCACCGAGAAGCAGATGCTGTGACGTCAGACAACATGGCAGTCTCTGAAGGAGTAATTACCGTGAATGATAAATATGTGAAGGCTATCAGTAAGTGAATGATAAGTGAAGGCCTTATAGAGTGATTTTTTCCTGACTTTCATTGCAATAAAAATACTATAAGTAAAATAAAACCAATTATGTAACAGCAATCCCGCCTGCTTATGCCATACCATTGCGTCTTTAGACTAGCGCACATGCTAACAGCAATCCCGCCTGCTTACGCCATACCATTGCGTCTTTAGCCTAGCGCACATGCTAACGGCCATCTCGCCTGCTTACGCCATACCATTGCGTCTTTAGCCTAGCGCACATGCTAACGGCCATCTCGCCTGCTTACGCCATACCATTGCGTCTTTAGCTTAGCGCACATGCTAACGGCCATCCCGCCTGCTTATGCCATACCATTGCATCCTGCTGTTCACCACTGTAGCTTTGCCGGAGATCTGAAGCCTGGACGCCTGTGGGGAGGCTCCCTGATGCCTGCAAATATGCTCCGCTTTGATATTTCCTAGCAAAGCCGCATGAACCTGATCTGTCTGAAGGAGTCCCAGTTTGGGAGGGGCGTGTGTGTGTAGGGGAGGGAGCAGGTGGCCGACACTGTCTGTCCCCCTGTGTGGGGGTAAATAATTAATGACGCTTAAGGGTGGGCAAACCGCACACCCCTGGAAACCCCAGCAGGCCCCCTGGGAGGGACTTGTCTGAGTGCTGCTTATCGACCGGCCTCTTACGCGCCTCCAGCAAGGATAACAGCTGCACCTCCGAAACGGACATGGTGTCTCTGCAATCCTACAACCCTAACCCTAACCCCGCCTCCCCCCCCCCCTAATATAGCTGCTAATAAACCATATCAGTCAAAATGCAATATTAATGCATGCCTGTAAGTAGGAACTGGGACGCAGTGAGGATTTAGAGATGAAGTGATGAAAGGATGAGGGCCAGCCATGATGAGCAAGAGGCCCAAATGGAGCGCCCTGCTTCTTTCAAACAAACCGGTTTGAGCTGGCTTGCACTTGGAGGAGCGCGGCTACGAGTGAACGACGCTCAATCAATCAAGCCGCGTCACGCAGAGATATATAGCCCCTACTGCATCGACCATGTACTCCCTGGAGCTGGGTAGCCATGAATAGTTACATCTGGAACAGCCCAAGCACACAGGCATCGTGTCGTGATGGATCACAGCCTCTTCTGGACGGCTCACTCAAGTGTTTATAGAGGAATTATGTAAGAGATATTTGCAAAAACATCAACACGACACTGGATAATGCACGGGCTGCAGGCGCATACACAGTAAATATTACAGTAATGATGGAGCAATCACAGCCAGCATGGGGGTCAACTCCTTCTGCTTAAGTTCAGGACCAGGAGAACCAGAGAGTGATTTGAAAATGTCAGAATTAGCAAACTGTGGACACGGTGAGCTCCCGGTACATGACTGCACGGAAGGATCCAGGACATAATAGGGGCTTCTTTGCCAAAGTGTCACATGGTGTATTTTACCTCGGATTCCTCCTCAGTGCGGATCATATCTTCCTGGAGTAGGTTCTGCGCTGTCTGTAGGCTGCGCTTCTCTGCGTAGCCCTCTGGAAGCACACAGATATATCGACATTTCAAACAGGAGTCAAAGAGCAGTCCTGTAGGGAACGCCAAGCCTGCAGCAGAGCCGGGGCCATAGAGAAGGCAAGCCAAAGACAAAGCAAAGCCCAGGGTTTGGGGGGAACCAATGCATCGAGCTGAGTCACTGAAAACACAGGCTAACAATGGGGATTCCTGCAGACTCGCAGCTACAGCCCGCGAGGCCTTTTCATTTCACATTGCGAAAGTTCCTGTTACCCAAAGAGGGATCCATGCCATCTGCAGAGTCACTGTTACACCCAGAGCTGGTGGAGAAGGCAGTCACTTCATATTAGCTCACCCCAGCTACAAACAAAGGGCTCTGTGCCTGGAAGGCTAGTCTGCGGTAGCTATGGAAACGCGTCATTATGATAATGTGCATGTGTGCGTGTCTGTGTGTGCGCGTAGCCGCAGGACAGAACTCTAACTAAAGCTTTTCTTCATTTAGAGCAAGAGGCCGTCAAGACAGTGACACTGCCGAACCTTGTTCCGAAACGGATCTCATGAAGCTGTAACGAACAACTGGAGTGCTGAGGGCACATTGAACACCATCAGCCAGCAGATGCAGCCTGTGCTGCCTCCACGTCTATGGGTCTGTTACGTCTTAGATGAATGTACACCAGCAGTCATTCCAAGGGATAATTCATTCAACACGACCAATTCTGTTCACCATCGCTGAGTCTGCCACACATGTACCTTCACACCCCGGACGGAAGTCTGAGAGGAAAGGGGACGTGTTTGAGAACATCCCTGCCACATTGAAGGGATGTACTGGGGGAACAGGAAACTGATCTAACTCTGTGGCATCAGCTGTAAGCAGAAAACAGTCAAGCAGTCCTGGGAGCCTGCTTTCAGAAGCTAGGGGGGATGGAGATGAGGGATGGGCTGCCAGGTTGCCCTGGAAACCATTTGCATTGACGCTTACCACGGTTGGAATCCCTGATCCTATAGATGATAGCATCATGGGTCGGCCGTTAAGATGAATGACGGCTCAACCTGGGAAGAAGGTGAACCACAACACAGACTGCAAGAGCTCAGGAACAAGCCAGCCTGTAAACCTGAGCCCGTTTTATGTGTATTAACCTGCCCCGGGTCATTCCACAGCAGGCTAGCTGAGCCGCGACAGATTTATGGAGTTAGCAGAGGAACCCTGAAGTACTCCAATGTCAATGATGGCTTTTGCAGAACTGTACTTTGATCAACTTCACAGATATATATCAGTTAGAGAATGTAGCCGCTGGGGTGACCCGTTAAAACCATTCACAAAGCCATGGACAATCTAGATGTCCTCCCCTGACCTAGAGCTGGATCGGGCAGGGGGGGGAACTTGAGGAATTACCCCCCTCAGAGTCTCACAGCTGGGAGAACACTTAACTTGCTTGATATTTGAGAAATGCCACACCCGGCTAGCTAAACTAGCTACCATTTTGGAGGCAAACATCAATTACAAGCCTTATCTCATCCACAGGGAACGTTTCAGGCTGCTGCTCAGATATGGGACAGCACCAGCAGCGAGGGCCGCAGGCTAATCTTCACAGATCATAATGCTGGGCGCTTCAGACAGAGTCGGGCCAAACGAGACCGGAGCAGACACAGGCCCCCCACTGCGTGCAAGGCTGGCTGCTTCAGACCCTCTGCAAAATCCCCCACCCATGCACTCCCACAATCACCCCACCACAGCGTATCACATCCTGCCCGAGCAATGGGAGCCGCTCCACCTCAAAGAGCCGAAGCCACAGCCGCTGCCACCAGCGCTCAGCATTAGCTGTGAGACAGCAGGTCTCCTCTGTGACAATCTCACCATGAGACCCAGAAGATACAGGAGTGTAAGCATTCTGCGTAATAATTTCTGTATTTCCAGTGTCTCTCTGAATGTGGCTGCTTTTCACCCCCTCTGCATACAATGTCGGGCAGACAGAGGGGTCAGCAAAGCCTCCAAGGTGGAAGATCAGGATGAAGAGATCTGAAAAAAGGTCTCACGTGCATGGGTTCCTTCAGAATGCTGCTCTCCTCAGACAGCAGGGAGGCTAAACATTCAGGTTAGGTGACCTCTGTAGAGCATTTAAGTGCCCTTCATAGGACATTTAGGTGACCTCTGTAGGGCATTTAGGTGACCTCAGTAGGGCACTTAAGACGTCTCTAGGCATTTAGACGTCCATAGGACATTTAGGTGACCACTGTAGGACATTTAAGTGACCTCTGTCCTTGTGTCCTTTGATGGGCTTAATGGGTTTCAGCACTCAAGTCCCCAGGTAAGTAGGTGTAACATAGGGGATCTTTTGTGAAATCTGTGAAGCAGGGAATGCCCAGCGACATGCTCCGTCACACACTCAGACTGAGTCTGACACCAGCATACCCCAACATGGGGGTGACCATAGATACCGTTCAGTGACACACTTGGTGACACACCCTGTAAACGAAGCTCTCAGGGTCTCAGGTTTCCAAGGGACACACATGGTGAGATACTTGAGGATACTTTCAGGGATACACTTAGTGAACCAGGCTCTTGGAGTCTCATGTGTCCAAGTGACATGCTCAGTGACACACTCGGGGACACACTCCGGGACATGCTTGGTGAGCAGGGCTCTCGAGGTCTCATGTTTCCATTGTCACTGCCCCCCATTGTGCATCTCCATGGCGACACTGCATCCCCCCAAAGTCACAACCAAGAATGCAGCGCTCACACAATCACAATCCACAGGGCGTAAGGATCTCCAGCCAGCCCCATGTGAATCATCATAAAGCAAGCTGAATCTGAGCTGAATCTCTTCAGCCTTGCGCAAAGTAGATTAAGGGGGGACATGACCCAGGTATAAGATTCTAACAGATCTCGATGCTGTTCAGCCAAATGGCTACTTTAATATTAGTTTGAATACTAGAACTCGTGGCCATAGGTGGAAATTAGCAGGAGAACATTTTAAACTGAATTTGAGAAAACACTTCTTTACACAGAGTGTAGTTAGAGTATGGAATAGTCTGTTAGTTAAGTTCTCCCCAAACGAGCTTGATGGGCCGAATGGCCTCCTCTCGTTTGTACATTTCTTATGTTCTTATGTTCTTAACACGGTGCGACAGGCAGCACAGACACCCACAGGTGCCCACACTGGTGGCCCTTGGTTAAAATAATCCTGCTGAGGTCGTTACTTAACATGCGCAGTTACGATAAGTACACTACAGCTGCAGCGTAGATCATGTTTCCATAAGCCACATCTGAGGTTCCTGTAGAAGATGATCTTGTCCCAATGGTACTGGCCAGTTAGTGATTGCTCTGGACATCTCAGCTCCCATCTGCAGCAGAAACACATAACTTCCGCACTTCTCCCTTCATAGCCGAGGGGAAGTCTATCAGACAGGCGTGATGGGGGCAGGGGGGGCTTCCCAAAATACAGTTCAAGCTTCCACCATGGGATCACAGTCTCGGGCTTAATAACCACCCTGCCCCCCCCCCACCCCATTGCTTATGCAATGCCCCCATACAGAGCCCGGAATCTTCTCCAGCCTTTTCCCAGCATGCTGGCCTTGCCGCCTGAGGAATTTGACCTTTTTTCACCTTCTTGTTCCAAAATGAGAATCAGATGTTCACAGAGGAAGGAACTCCCACCCATCCTGCCCGACGGCACAGCTGGGTGGGGGGCCGGGGGGGCTGCTGTGCGGCAACAGGAAGTTTAACATTCTTCCCTCTTTCCATCACTGGACAGCTGTGCTGGCCATAGACGGGCCTGGAGGGAGGGGTTACCCCCACACCGGCATCATACAGGGGATAGGGACACTGAGGGTGTGGAGCGAGCACATTATTATTACTGCTAGATTTAAGAGCTATCGCTCACCAGCAACAGGCTGTCCTCAGCTAACAGTGAACTAAGCTAAAGCACTCACTGCTGAGAGTGAGTTCAGCTAAAGCGCACACCGCTAAAGGTAAGCTCAGCCAAAGTATTTGCTTCTAGAAAAGAGCTAAGCTAAAGCACTCACTGCTAAGAGTGAGCCAAACTACGTACAGCACTTGCCAAAAAAAAAAACCTAAGCTAAAGCACTCACCAATAAGGGTCAGCTAAGCTAAAGCACTCACTGCTAAGAGTGAGCCAAGCTAAAGCAGTCACCGCAAAAAAAAGAGCTAAGCTAAAGTACTCACTGCTAAGAGTGAGCCAAACTACGTACAGCACTTGCCAAAAAAAAAAACCTAAGCTAAAGCACTCACCAATAAGGGTCAGCTAAGCTAAAGCACTCACTACT